GTTTCTTGATATTAATGGTACCCCTAATGAAGATTTATAATAAAAAGAAGCAGGCTGAACAGGGTAAATTACAAATTGTAAAATTTTAAGGAGTAAAGGAACACAAAAAAGTGGAATAAAACTAAATCCTGTGTTCAAGGAGATAAACAGAAATGAATGACCTCAGGGCAAGACCCTACCAGCTAAATTTCCAACTTGTGGAAAAGAACTAAAGAAAAACTGAGAGCCCAGTGTGGCGGTGCACAGCTTGAATCCCAGTACTGGGAAGGCAGAGGCTGTGGATCTCTGAGTCAGAGCTTAACCAGGTCTAGAGATCCAGTTTTAGTACAGCCAGTTTGGGCCGTGAAGGACAGAAAGATGTAATTGAATGAATGAGGGGGCCATGTTCTAGCCCCAGCAGGCAGCTGAACTTGGCAGCTTCGGCCACTTGTTTCTGAATTTAAGGATAGAAGAAAGGGGTTATAGAATTTGTCCCCGAGACTAAGGTAAACAAACCTCCAAGGCTAGTTCCTGAATGGAGGCCTAGAGAGACCATTGCTTGAAGCTGTGAAGGTGAGGCCTAGATTGCCTTGGAGACGCCAAGATGTTGGAGATGCCAGAGCCGTGGGATACTTGCTGAGGAGAGCTGCTAACGGGGAGTGGAGCCAGCACAAGAGAGAGAAGTGTGTTGCAGTCAACAGACTTGAATGGGGTTGGAGATCTGAAGAGCTGACATCAGACAGGGAGCTGTAGAGTTTGGAGTTTGTCCATCTGGTTTTTAGGCTTACTTTGATCCAGTATTTCCTCACTATGCTCCCTTCCCTACATGGTGCGGGAGAATTGTCTGTATTCTGTCAATCATGTTATAAATAAATGCTGATTGGCCAGGTAGGAAATATAGGCGGGAAAACCAGACAGAAGGTAAAAATGATGTAATGAGAACAGGAGAATTCTGGGAAGGAGGAAGTTGATTCCTTTCCTCTCCTGGTCAGACCACCAAAGCAGCAGGATGTGATCTGTCCCACTAAAAAAAGGTACTGAGCCACATGGCTAACATAGATCAGAAAAATGGGTTAATCAAGATGTGAGAGTTAGCCAGTGAGAGGCTAGAGCTAATGGGCCAATTAGCTTATAATTTATGGAAACCTATGTGTGATTTTCTTTGGGGCTAAAAAGTTGTGGGATACCTGGCAGGACAGAAAAATCACAACAAACAAGCAGGCCTGGCCCAATCATGTTACACCTACATTTTGGAATGATAATGTATGTATTGTATGTTAAAAGTGTGTGATTTGTTTTTTTCTTTTGCTTTTACAGACTTTGCACTTTAGACTTTTAAATAAATAGACTGTTATATGAAACTATGGGAACTTTTGAAGTTGGACTGATTGCATTTTTGCATTCTGATATTACTACAAGCCTGTGGGGGCCAGGGAGTGGAATATGATGATTTGAAAGAAATTGGTACCCAGTGAGAGTAGCACTATTAAGAGGTATGGCTTTGTGGGAGGAAGTGTGTTACTGTGCAGGCAGGCATTGAGGTCTCATATGCCCAAGCCATACCCAGTGAGATAAATCACTTCCTGTTGCCTACAGGTCGAGGTGTGTGACACCCTGTTACTTTTCCAGTACCATGTCTGCGCGCATGCCACCAAGTCTCCTCGTGGCAATAATGACCTAAACCTCTGAAATGTAAGCTGCCACTTCAATTAAAAGCTATACTTTATTAAGAGCGACTGTGGTCATGATGTTTCTTCATGGCAATAGAAACTCTACCAAGACAAGAATTAATCTTCCTTTTCTGCAGTATTAGAGTCCATCCTTTTCTTCTTCCCAAGGGCTACCCTGGCCTAGGTATCCTGTTGTCAGGATTCTGTCTTTGAATCTCTTGATGCTTCTCTTGGCGCTTTCTCTCCAACTTCCTTCCTCTCAGTAATACCTGAAATAATGCTGAATCTCTCAATAAATTGACTTGATTGAGGATCCAATCACCCCTGGAATACTGTTTTTGTGAGAAGGCTTTTTTTTTTTTTTTTTTTTGAGACTGGGTTTCTCTGGCTTGGAGCCTGTCCTGAAACAAGCTCTTGTAGACCAGGCTGGTCTTGAACTCACAGAGATCCGCCTGCCTCTGCCTCCTGAGTGCTGGGATTAAAGGCATGCACCACTACTGCCTGGCTGATAAGGCACTTTAAAAAAATTTTTTATTGAGCTCTGCATTTTTCTCTGCTCCTCTCACTGCCTCTCCCCTCCCCTTCAACTCCAAGGTCCCCATGCTCCTAATTTACTCAGGAGATCTTGTTTTTTTCTACGTTCTACTTCCCATGTAGATTAGATCTATGTATGTCTCTCTTAGGGTCCTCATTGTAGTCTGGTGGGATTGTGATTTGTGGGCTGGTTTCCTTTGCTTTATGTTTAAAAATCACTAATGAGAGATCACATGGGTGATCTTTCTGGGTCTGGGTTACCTCACTCAAAATGATGTTTTCTAGCTCTACCCATCTGCCTGCAAATTTCAAGATGTCATTATTTTTTTTCTGCTGTGTAGTACTCCATTGTATAAATGTACCACCTTTACCTTATCCATTCTTTGGTCGAAGGGCATTTAGGTTGTTTCCAGGTTCTAGCTATGACAAACAAAGCTGCTGTGAACATAGTTGAGCACATGTCCTTGTGGAACGATTGAGCATCCTTTGGATATATACCCAAAAGTGGTATTACTGCGTCTTGAGGAACGTTGTTTCCTGATTTTATGAGAAAACGCCACACTGACATCCAAAGGGGCTGTACCAGCTTGCGTTCCCACCAGCAATGCAGGAGTGTTCCCTTTACCCCACAACCTCTCAGGCATAAGTTGTTTTCAGTGTTTTTGATCTTGGCCATTCTTTCAGGTGTAAGATGGAATCTCAGAGTTGTTTTAATTTGCATTTCTCTGATGACTAAGGATGTTGAGCATTTCCTTAAGTGTCTTTCAGCCATTTTAGATTCCTCTGTTGACAGTTCTCTGTTTAGATCTGTACTCCATTTTTTTATTGGATTATGTGATCTATTGGTGTCCAATTTCTTGAGTTCTTTGTATATTTTGGAGATCAGATCTCTGTCTGATGTGGGGTTAGTGAAGATCTTTTCCCATTCTGTAGGCTGTCGTTTTGTCTTGTTGACTGTGTCCTTTGCTTTACAGAAGCTTCTCAGTTTCAGAAGGTCCCATTTATTAATTCTCTTAGTGTCTGTGCTACTGAGGTTATATTTAGGAAGTAGTCTCCTGTGCCAATGCGTTCAAGTGTACTTCCCACTTTCTCTTCTATGAGGTTCAGTGTGGCTGGCTTTATGTTGAGGTCTTTGATCCATTTGCATTTGAGTTTTGTGCGTGGTGATAGATATGAGTCTATTTTCATTCTTCTACATGTTGATATCCAGTTATGCCAGCACCATTTGTTAAATATGCTTTCTTTTTTCATATATATATATTTATTGAAAAAAAATTCCACCTCCCCCACTCCTCTCCCCCTTCCCTCACTCCTCTCTTCTCTTCCCCTCTCCCCTCTCTTCTTCCCCTCCCTCTTCAGTCCGAAGAGCAGTCACGGTTCCCTGCCCTGTGGGAAGTCCAAGGACCTCCCCATTCCATCTAGGTCTAGAAAGGGGGAGCTTCTGGCTGTAAGGATCATTTATTTAGATTACTCATCTCCTCTGTCTTGGTTGTAAGAGCTTGATATAGCCTGGCCCAACAGATAATGCACATCACTGGGATATTTATCACTTCCAGTTCTCAGCTTTCTGGATAGAAAACTCGTTTTTCTTCATCTTTCCCATTGAAAAGACAGTTCTGTGTGTCTAATATTCCTGGTTTCTCTGGAGATCTGTGGGTTCAAGAACCGTCATACTATGCTCCCAACAAGGAGTTTTTAAGGGCTGGGAAGATAGCTGGTGAAGTGCTTGCCTTATAAGCTTGAGGACCAGAGCTTGGGTCCCAGCACCCAGGTAAAGTTCTGGGCATGGTAGTACTGTGGAGGTGGAGATGATCCTTTGGGTTCCTGGGCAGTGTGTCTGGCCTAATTGTGAGCTCCTTTCTCAGAGGAGATGGATGGTATTCCCGAGGACAATACTTGAAGTTGTCCTCCAGCCTCTGAACGAGGTTCACATGTGCATATTCACTTCCCTTTGCACACAAGCATGCATATATGTGTACACGCATAAAAATGAAAAGAAGTATTCAAAATTGCCTTTATGTTATTAGTTGAATATAAGGAAGTAATGATAGAAATTGTTCTCATAGAAATAAAATCGTGTTTGTTAATATTTCAGTGAGTAAATATTTGCTGCTGCATCTGCCTCAAATCTTGCCTTTCAACCCCTGACATTCCCTCTTCCCCTTCATCACAAGTTAGGCTAGAAAACCTGCAGTACATTGTTGGCACATGGTTCAAGAATGGAGTTGTGGGAGGAGAATTTTGAATACTTGTAAGGTAACTCCAAAAACAAAACAAAACGAACAAAACAAACAAGCAACAATGAAAAAACCCAAGAGTCCTGTGATGTCAATTTCTTCAGAACATAGAATTGTTCTTGAAATGTATTTTCATGTTCCTCCCAGCTGTAGCAGATAGGAGTGAGTTTACTTCAGATTATTCATTACAAATGACTATTGCTTCTATGGAAAAACATGTTTTTGCCACGTTTGGTTTGTCCTTGTGATTATACACTTTACTCATGTGACTTCTTAACCCTCCGCGTGAGTATAAATTGTCTGATGCTTTGAATAAAGTTGGCTGTTGCATGAAACTGCCTCATTTGTCAGCTCCATCCTCTCAGTCCCATTGTCTCTGCAGTGGTGACAGTGTGTGAGCATAGTTTCCCTTGCATGAATACCAAGGGGCTGTTCCCACGGGAATCCTTCCTCATAGAGCTGTTCATTGACAACACTGGCATTTTAGTATTTCATTCAATTCCTCATGTAGTCTTTGTTTTTCAGACTCAAGAAGTAGAACTGATAATCTTTTGGCTAACAGGTTTTTCTTTTTCCTCAGATTCATCGGAAAACTACATTAAGACAAAGACTTTTGAGGGCTTCTGTGCATTACATCTTGCTGTTAGTCAAGGACACTGGAAGATCACGCAGATTCTTTTGGAAGCTGGAGCAGATCCTAATGCAACTACTTTAGAAGAAACCACACCGTTGTTTTTAGGTGATGTATGCTATTTTTGGTACAGATGTACTTTTAGAAATATTTTTCTTAGTAAACTGTTACAGAGTATTTCTTTTGGTTCTGAAACTGAAAGGCTATTTTTAAAGGTTTCTCTCTTGTTTTTCTACTCTTGGGTGATGGTAGTATTCAGGACTTGGAAATGTTTATTTAAAGCTGCAAAACCCATGGTGAGTTGTTGCCCGGGGTAGTGCTGAAGACCAGTGATGCTTGGATTAGAGCAATCCTTGTAAGGTTATCTACTAAGATTTTGTTTCCTTTTTCTTAGTATTAAAGGATTAAGGCTCTATGGAAGAAATAATTTGTTACCTGTGGATCATGAGTCAGACTTCTTCAGTGTGGAACTGTTAGTTCCTTAAGGATCATAGCCAAATCTTCAGTTGTCCACTGCTAATAACCATTTATTTTATTCCCTCTATCTCTCTGGTTCTGTTGGAGTCTTAGGAACATTTTTTGATTAACTGGTTGACTCAGATTGACTGAGACGTGGAAATTCAGAGGATGTCATTGGAGTAGAACTAGTATATCTTAGACTCTAGTTTGGTCCTACCACATATAACTTGTATGACCACTTAATTATTGCAAGCTTGTTGCTTCATTTAAAAAATGAGAGTATCTATCTAGTATTTGTTAGTCACATGAAAACAAAATAAAATATCAGTGGAAGTACTTTTTTGTGAATGTAAACATATTTAAAATTTTTATGTGTTATAAAATTCAGCTTTAATGTGTGTGTGTGTGTGTGTGTGTTTGCATACATATAAGAGCCTGTGCACACAGAAAAAGACATTGGTTTCCTGCGCTATCACTCTCTGCAGTATGCCCTTGACACCAGTTTATTGTACTGAACCTTAGTCCTTCTGTCTCTGTCCCCATAGCCTTGAGGTTATAAATGCATGGTCATGCCTGGAGATTTATGTAGGTACTGGGAATTTGACCTCAGGGAGTAATGCCAGCCTTCCAGTGCTGGGATTAAAGGCTGTGCCACCACCACCTGACTTCATTATTAATTAATGTAAACATTATTAGATACAAAAGGAAACAAATTGATGGTAAAACTGTTCAGGCAAACCATTGAAACTGTGTAAGTAAAAACAGTTCAGGCTATCTAGGGCTACTTTTGTGAAACAGGTGATCAGAGTTTCGTCATTGGGCTGACTTCACACGCCAGTCCCAGACTGGCTGGGAACTAGGAGTTAGGCTCCCAACAGATGCCATGGAGCAGTGAGTGAGTGCTACTCAGAATGTCAGTCTATCCCTGTAAGAGGCTTGAGCCAGAATGTGGCCATCATACTACTTCATCTTTGAAGTCTCACCTTGAGAAAAATCTCAGCTAAAGATAATGAGTAGGGGTAAAGTTGTTTTCCATCTTGGTCAAACGTCTCATCTTGTATGGGCTGATGACAAGCAGTTTGCAGATTAACAGCAGTTGGTGAGTGATAGTGAGTAGAGCTGCTGTATAGCATGGTTGTGACTATAAACTGGATGATTACATAATCCATTATCCTTTATTCTTCATTGTTATTGCCACTGGTCAGTTCTATACGATTATTACTGACTGGTATGGCTCCTTCACTAGCAGGAATCTTCGGAATTAAGGATATTTTTTCCTTACATATTTTCTTTGCTAAGGAATCCTCAGAATAATAATTTATTTCAATAAATCATAATGTGGATCAGTACTTATAAAATTGATTCCTGAAGAGAATTTTGCTATAAGAATTAAAAACTTGAGTCATAGTAAAAGTTATGGGACCTAGTGTTAAAGCTTTTGGAGATGTCTGAGAAGACTGTGTAAGTTTAGGGCGGCTGTTTTACTCTTGTTCTTTAGTGGTGGTAATGGACCCCAGAGTCTCACATATGCTATGTACTTTCTGTACCACTCAGCTAGCATCCTTTAGGGATATTAGATTTGAAAAATTACAGTGTCTCTGAACTCCGTGCAGAGAAAATAGATGGGATGCTAATTAGTACATAAAAGGATAGTAGAATTTTAGGGTTTTTGTCTTCTATGTGACTAGAGGATGTGTTTTTCTGGATGTGATTTCTCTGGTATCTAAATGGTCATTAGAAATATCAGTGATAACATGTACAGCTGTATTTGGGTCGTCACCATGACGTTTTTCTTATGCTATGCAGCCTTGATTTTCCCCAGCACTTATTTATGTTTACGATTGTTAACCACTGGGCACGTATGAACTTTGTTGTTTTAGACTGTGAAGTCATGACTGGACTGGAACTTGATATGTAGACCAGGTTGGCCTAGAACTCAAGAGATTTTCCTACCTTTATTTCTTGACTGCTGTAATCAAATGTGTGCACAACACCTGGCTTTATATATGAGGAATTTGTTAAGATAGAATTATAGCTTTATAGTTAGACAAAATCTTCTAAATGTCAATAAAATATTGAACATTTGAGGGTAAAGATTAATGGTCATGATACATTTTAGAAATCTTTCTGAATATGCGTGTGTGTGTGTGTGTGTGTGTGAGAGAGAGAGAGAGAGAGAGAGAGGGAGAGAGAGAGAGAGAGAGATTTAATTTCAATTTTTTATGGGAAAGTCCCACTTTATAATCATATTTATAAACTTTAGTTAAGAAATGAGGAGTAATAGCAGGCAATCCTGTATTCCTAATGACAGTCTTGAAATGATAGATTCAATGTCTTTCCTGGTCACACACAGGCAGTGTGTATGTGACGAGGATGTCCTTCCTGCTTGTGTGTGACGAGGAAGGACATTAATCACAACTAATCGGTAATAATCATTTGGACCAGAATAGTCCTTAAACAACTCTGTTGTCTTTGCAGTTGTTAAAGCCGTACTTGTCTGTAGTCAAAACACAGATTACATGAACAGCAGTAGAAAAGGGAAAAGTCGTTATTGTTGTAGTTTTTGTCCCAGTGCCCTCAGATGCCATTGAAAGCTGCAACAGATAACAAATAACTTCTGGTTCATAAAAGATGTAGTGAGAAAAGCTTGGCATAAACTGACATAACAAAAATCCCATTTTACTGTAGAATTGTATAGGAAAATGGAGTGCATGGTGGAGAATAGAGTACATGTAGAACCCGACCTGGAAGAAGGGTGAGTGTCTGAACTTTCAGCTGACAGCCCTGCTCTCTAGGGCCGTCCCTATTCAAACCACCACATAATGTTTGCTCTCTGTTTCTAGATTGATTCCAGAACAGTGTTCTGTAGCATACTTCTCAAATGGGTTAGCAATAATCTAGTATAAGAAGAAGTTTGTTTTATTTCATAGTATTCCTTGTCACATTTTTACTGTTTAGAATCACATGAATTATGGAACTGCATTCAAGTTTAAAAAGTGTGTGTAAGCACATATTGAAGAAAAGGCAGTTTAGTTCGCAAACTTTGTATAAATGTATAGATATAACACAATTCAAGTTTAGTAATTATATGTCGCCAATTAACAGTAAACAATTCTCCAGCCTTACTGTAATGATTAAATTGATGAAGTATTTTTACCATAAACATGTTATTTAGTTTCTAAGCTAATCAATTATGATTGACATTGATTGCAGACAGTATGTTTAAATATTAGTTGTATATCTCAAAATTGGGTGAATGAAATCAGTTTCAAGTATATTTCAGGGATCTGCCTCCCTCTCGTTCTCCAATGCTAGGTTTATAAGTGCTGCCTATCATGTCTTGTTTTTTGTCTTTTTATCCCCACCTTCTTATAGGTTTGGGTGTGCGTTCATCTGTGCACCACATGTGTTCAGTGTCTAAGGAAGCCAGAAGGGGCTAGAGCCACAGATGATTGTGAGCCACCATGTGGGTTTGAGATTTGATCTTGGGTCCTCTGAAAAAACAGCTAGTGCTCTTAACCACTGAGCCATCTTTCCAGCCCCATGTCTAGCTTTTTAAGAGTATGTTATGGTGATCAAATTTAGGTCCTTAAATGTCTGTGATAGGTACTTCACCAGCTGAGCTATCTCCCCAACCCTGGACTTCTTTTTCTTTATCCTTCAATTTTCTGCAGTTTGAAAATAATACATGTAAGTATAGTTTATTTTAAATCTGAATGTGTGTACATGTATGTGTGAAAGATAAATAAATGTAGGAGGTGTTTCAAATGTAGAGGTCAGAGGAGAACCTTAGTTGTCCCCACCTTGTTTGAGTCAGGGTCTCTTGTTGTTCACCCCTGCATACTCCAGTCTGCCTTCTGAGCTTCTGTAGATCGACCCATCTCTGCTTCGCTTGTAGCTGTGGGAGTACTGGGATTACAGCCCAGGTATACATGTGTTCTAGGGACTTGCATAGCAAGGATATTCCCACAGAGCCATCTCCCTAGCCCAGTATGCAGAAAGGCCTATGCATATGAAATGAGGCTGAGATAGTTGTGATAAATGTTTAGGAATGATCATAGCATTGTGCATTCCAAGGTGTATAAAATGATTAGAACTTTGTAAAACTGTCGAGTCCTACAAATATCTTTTTGCTCACTGTAATTTCTCTGATTGCTGTATTGCAGCTGTTGAAAGTGGACAGATAGATGTTCTGAAGCTGTTGCTTCAACATGGAGCAAATGTCAATGGATTCCATTCTATGTGTGGATGGAATTCCTTGCACCAGGCTTCTTTCCAGGTAATCTCCGAATTTATTTTTTTCATTTCCATGTAAATTGTATGTCTTACCCTTTTTATAGCAGCAGTTCTATACAGTTCTTGCTCTTACTTGCCTATGGTTTGTAATGATTTGTACAGCACAGAAAGGCAGTCTAAATACTAATGACCATTCTAAATAAGCGAGCTGCTGCAGGACCAGAGCTGCTTTGGTCTGTAGGATTATCTAAATTTAAAATGTTGGCCACATAGTTATGAAGTGATCAGAATCTGGGATAAGGAAAAATGGTATATTTTATTATAATTACATGTTTAGAAGGCATGTTTATTACTGCTTAAGTTAGTAATCTAATTTTATATGACTTTAAGGGTTAATATTGCTAGAGATCAGTTTTTAGTATGTTTATACTTAATGGGTTGTGCAGAAGTGTAGGGTAATCTTGATTAGTCATGCCTTTTCTATCCATTTTATCAAGACACTGCATTTTTTCTTAAAGTTTTTCTTTACTGAGAAGATAAGAAAAGTAAAATACAACAAGAAAGATTTTTTTTTTAATATAAAATATGTATCTGTGCTTCAGGGAAATGCTGAGATTATAAAACTGCTTCTTAAAAATGGAGCAGACAGAGAATGCCAGGACGACTTTGGAATCACACCCCTGTTTGTGGCTGCTCAGTATGGGAAGCTAGAGAGCTTGAACATTCTTATGTCGTCTGGTAAGAGCCATCAGCCTTTGTGCTAGGAAGAGCAAGTTTTTAAGCGGTATTCCTGGAAAGAATGGTTCTTGAAATAGGTGATGAAATTTATGTGAGCTGCAGATAAAAGTGTATACAGTTGATGTCAGTCCTGGTTATTATTAAGTATGTTACCAGCAATGACACACATCCTTCTTACTGATCTACATAGGAATATGGTGGTCCTGAGCAGGCGTCTTGCAGTTCAGTGGCTTTCTAGGTACACATCTACTCTAGGGTTAGTTTATTAGATGGTCATTTTGTGTGTTAAGCCTTTGAGTTGTATGTTTTGTGTGGCATATATCTTCCCCAAACTCACTTGCTCACTCCCCCCCCCCGTGTGTGTTTGTGTATGTGTGTGTATGCGTATGTGTGTACACTTAATGTACATGGGAATGTGGAGGTCAGAGTTCAGTATTAATGTCTTTATTAGTCACTCTGTCCCTTGTTTCTGAGAAAGGTTCTCTCACTAAGCCTACAGCTCACTGATCCGGCAGAATAACCAGCTAAACGATTCTGTGACTACTTAGACATGCAGCCTTGCCAGAGTAAGCAGTGTTACCATGCCATTATTTTTGTGACATCTTCAGACCAGAGGGGTTCACCATATAGAACGGCTTTAAAAGTCTTTCAGGGTGCATTCTCTGGCAGAGCTAACCTGAGAAGCCATTGGTAGTCAGAGGAGGGACTTGTCACCAGATTTTCTGACTGGTCTACATAGTCACTTCCTGAACAGCCAGGACTACCTAGAGAGACCCTGTGTCAAAAACAAAACAAAACGAACAAACAGAAAAATAAACCCTCCAAATAGACCAAAGCCTAACAAAAAACAGGGCATATATTTCTTATTTCTAGTTTTTCCTTATACATCTTTACATAAAGTCAAGATAGGAAGTGAAGAAGTGAACCTTCATGAAGTTGGAGGTGAAGGTGTCTGAGAAATTATGAACTTGCATCTTACTTCTTGAAATGATACATTTTACATTAAGAACTTCAGACTCTGGGTGTTAAATACTGACTAGAGATCTAGAAACTAATATTTTTTTTGGCACAATCAGGACATGTTTATTCTTGTATTTCTTTGTTTTTAATTTTCTTCTCTCTAAACTTATAAATAGCAATTTTTGTATAATTAAAATGTATGAAGGTCTGTTTATAATGTAACTATGATCTTACTTCTAATCATGACCATTAGTGTCTGTTACTTTTTATATTTTTTCAATTGTAGTCTTAGAGGAGCTGATTTCTTATTACTAATGATACTTTGAAGTTGTCACTCAAACTAGAAGGTTAATTTGTTTTTTTTTGTTTGTTTTTGTTTTTTAAAAGCAGGTTTTGCCATTGACTTCCTCTTTTCTCAGTGATTGTATTTATGTCTCTCTGAAGCTGACAGCAGATGATGCACCAAAGTCATGACAATTCTAGTTGGCTAGCACGTTCACAATTCATGAAGGTTCAACACCGACTTTAATTTACCCTGTGTAGCTTGTTTAAGATGTACTTATGTAAGATTATTTTGAGTAAGATAGTCAGTTTTCCCCTATGTTTATAGTATTGATACTGAGATATATTAGAGAAATTTAAAAACTAGCTTTATCATGTGATAGTATAAGTCTTAGTAGATTTAATGTATTATTTGCTGGTGATAAGATTAGGGTAACCTGCTATTTTCATAAGTTTCATAAGTAAGGTCATTTTTAGCCATTCCAAATCTTTGTTTGTATGCTTTTTATTTATGGAAACAGGATCTTCCTATGTAGTTTTGGCTGTCCTGAAACTCATTATGTTGACCAAGCTGACCTTTAACTCACAGAAAACTGCTGCCTCTGCCTCCTCCCAAGCACTGGGCTTGAAGGCGTGCACCACTGTGTCTGACTGCCTTTTCAAATCTGAATATAGTAGTATGAAAATAACAAAAGTTTTATTTTACAATCTGCTCAGATCCATTAAAAATATTGTTCCCATTTATTGTTGGTTTTACTATACAATACTCACAAAGGAACAAAAGTAGTAATAAGACTAATTAATATAGTTTTAGTCATAGATCCCATGTATTTCAGTCATATCTACTGGTAAAGTCCCTCTTAAATCTTAGTCTAAAATCAGTTGGTGACATCCATAAGTGTCATAATTTATGCTTCCCTAGGAGTTATCTTTAATGTTATTTATATTTATTCTTATTTTTTTTTTAAGACAGGCTAGCCTCCAACTTGTAATGCTCTTTTCTCAGACTCCCAAGAACTGGAATTGTGGCCTTTATCACTACATCTGGCTTTCTTTCCTTTAAAAATCTTTATACTTTGGGACTTGAGAGATGGCTCAGTGGTTAAGAGCATGTGCTGCCCTTGCAGAAGGGTGGGATTCAGGTCCTGCATCCATGTTAGGTAGGCTCACTGTTTATGAACTCCAGCTCCAGAGGGATCCGATGCACCCTTCTGGCCTTCATAGATACTTGCATGCACATGCACAGATATGTGTACACACACACAAACACACACACACACACATACACAAATCATGAATACACATTGAAACAAATCTTTAAAAGCTATCTGTACTTTGAAACCAAAGTATTTGTTGGAAGAGGGATTTGAATAAATAGCCTTCACGGAATGTGGATTTTTTTTTTTGGTCTAAAAGTGAATTCTAAAATATGAATGATCATTTCTGCTCTTACTGATGGAGACTGAAAACAATTTAAATGATTGTCAACAGGTTAGTAAAATACATATATTTTCTCCAACAGCATCCACTAAGGGGGAAGCTGCTGTACTATGAAAGCTTTTTGTGGCAGTTTGAAATTTGTGTTATCGTATTTTTTAAAACACTTATATGGATTATTGTTTAATATTTTGTTTTGTATTAGGTGCAAATATCAATTGTCAAGCCTTGGACAAAGCTACTCCATTGTTTATTGCTGCACAAGAGGGTCATATAAAATGTGTGGAACTTTTGCTGTCTGGTGGGGCAGATCCTGATCTTTACTGCAATGAAGACAATTGGCAGTTGCCTATTCATGCTGCTGCACAAATGGGCCATACAAAGTAAGTGCTCAAAGTGGAATAATGCTCTCCGAATTAAAAGCAAATTAAGGGTAGATCTGAGTCACACCTTTATCTCCAGGAAATTCCTTGGTCCTTCCTTTCTGTAACCAATTTGAGGGATGCCTAGATTTCCTCCTCATCTCCCCATGTTGATTTCTTCTCAACTCCTCTAAAGTTTTCATTTTCCCACTTTGAGGAAGACTGAGTAGAGATGGAGTGGGTACTGGATCTTCCTCAGGATTTCCTCGGCTAATGGCAGTCCTTTCCCTTTACCCCACACATCTTCAGCTAGCGGTCTGATGGCCTCGCTAATATTTACTATCTCCCTGTGTGACGAGTAGTCCATCCCATCCTAAACCGTTTGATTAGATTCATTACCTACTCTCACCTCCAGGCTGCTATTGTCTCCTGCTTCTGGAACTCTTTCTTTGCTAAACGTCCCTAGAAAATTTTTAGCATATTTTTGAGAGAGTATATTGGGGAGTATGGAAATGTTAGAAGTTAGTGACCTGGTTATGTCAATAAGAATAAGGCTTCCTTCCAGAAATCAGTATGGACAGATTTAAAAATCATGTTTACAATCTTTAGGGTCATAATTGTACAGTAGTACTTTCTATAGCCATCATTACTGTTGTTCACTTAAAAATAACAGAATGGTCATTATCTTTGGACAGTAGGAAGGTGGAGGCCTTACAGAGCTCTGAAAGCCTTGTGACACGATGCTTTTGCTAGCTCATCTTTAAAACTTAGACACATTTATTATGTTTAAGAGGTGTCATGTTGATTCTTTTAATAAAATACTTGGTTTCAACATTTGATATTTCTTCTACTTGCTTTTTAGAATTTATTACCAGTTCTTTGGGACTTCCATACATGTTTTGAACACTTTCACACTCCACCAACTTTTCCCAGGTCTACACCCAGTTTTGTGTTCATTACAAAAAATGGTTAGATCCATTTTCTCTCATTGTTCGTGATTTATTTAGCGAAATCTTTTAACAGTTATTTAACAGCTTTAAATAATTTGATACCAAAACTCTCATAGGAATTTGTCCTTAATTGTGCCCAATTTTGAGAATTCTCTTGTCACTGATTTCATCCCAACTTGCTTTTAAAGATGGTCCATCTGTGGTTTTAGTTATCCCCCAGTGTTATTTTAGGTTTGCTTGTGGCAGGAAAAGCAGCTACTTCTTTATTGATATAACTCAGATGTTAATTGCATTTTTTCTGAGCATGTAATATTTTACTATGAATTTTAATTTCTTCTGATTAAAAATGTAATTTCTCATTTCATTGCCACTCACCATCTTTAAAAATTCTTACTACTGGGCCAGGCGGTGGCAATGCACACCTTTAATCCCAGCACTTGAGGCAGAGGCAGGTGGATCTCTGTGAGTTCAAGGCCAGACTGTTCTACCAGAGCTAGTTCCAGGACAGCTAGGACTATTACATAGAAAAACCCTGTCTTGGAAAACCAAACAACAACAAAAAAATTCTTACTAACGGGGAATAAAACCAATTAGTGTTTAAGAAGGAAAATACTTCATTTTATTTTTTGTTATTATTTGTTTGTTTGTGAAACAACCTTGCAAGGTAGCTCTGACTCCTGGAACTTGTTATGCAGCTGTGACAGGCCTTGAACTCATGACTATACTGTTTTAGCCTCTGACTGCTGACTTATAGGTATGTGTTATCACAACTGGTCATTATATAATCCCCAGTGCTGGGAATTGAACCCAGTGCCTCCAGCATAGTAGGCAGACATTCTGTCTCTGGGCAATATCCCAGCTACTTCATATTTAATGTAATAAGTATTAAAATGATTTATTAGGTCCTGAAATACCAAACATAAAATTGGATTTGGGAGCATAGGTAATGATGGTGCTAAGACAAATAATAGTGAACAAGGACAAGAGACAAATCTCCTATAGTAAATATTCCTCCTGTTTGTGTATTTGAAGGATCTTGGACTTGTTAATACCGCTTACTAACCGGGCTTGTGACACTGGTGCAGACAAAGTGAGCCCTGTTTACTCAGCAGTGTTTTAAGGACAGGAAGAGTGCGTGGAAACATTCCTGCAGAATGGTTACAGCCCAGATGCACAGATGTGCTTGGTCTTTGGATTCAGCTTCCCTCTGTGCACAGCTTTCCAAAAGGAGTAAGTATGTTCGTTACATTTTGCTTCTCTTTAATTCCCAACTGACTTTTCTTCTAGTGAAACTTGGTGTCTCCGTTAGTACTAAGTTTCTAACCTAGAAAAGGCCTGCTTCAGGATATGTTGTTCAATCTAGCAGAAGTGAGGTTGATAATGCCAGGTTATTTACCTTCTCTTTTTGGACCTGCATTATACTTTTAGTGTAACATTGTTAGGAAATACTTTTAATATATTAATATAAATGCTTAGGCCTACTCTGATGTCTTTGAAATGATTCAAGAATCAAAAAATGGAACTTTTATCAAGTAAAGCAGTAACTGCTTCAGGTTTTTTAACTATAAACCTTTTAATTAATTAATCAATTTATTTATTTCTTATTTTATGAGACTTACAATAAAACCTTGTTTTTTAGATACTATAACATTAACGTATTTGTTATGCAGCATTTTTAAGTGTACATCATAATAAATATATTTTAAAAGTCATACATTTCATTTTTATACTCCACTACAGTTCTGTGAAGTAGAATAAATGAAGAGTTAATGCTGCTGTTCAAGTGTTTGACCAATAATTTGACCTTGGGACCACAGTGGACTTGAGTAGCTGAGGGTAATTGCTGAGGGTTTTACAGTAGACCTTAGTAGGTGAGGGTGGTTGCTGACACCTTTAATCCCAGCACTCTGGGGCAAAGGAAGGTGAACCCCTTTAAGTTCAAGGCCAGCCTTGTCTCCACGTGGAGAGTTTCAGTACACCCAGGGCGAGAGAGAGAGAGAGGAAGAGAGAGAGAGAGAGAGAGAGAGAGAGAGAGAGAGAGAGAGAGAGAGAGAGAGACTGACTTTGTCTTGAATAAACCAAAACAAACAACAACAACAAAAACACATTAAGATTATGGGGTATGGAGATAGCTCAGTGAGTAAATGTGAGGACTTGAGTTCAATTCACAGAGTCCACATTAAAATACTGGGTGTAGTGGTGTGTGCTTTTAATTCCAGCGATAGGGAGCAGGAGACTGAAGGATTCCTGAGTGTCACTGGCCAGCTAGTCTAGCTTGATAGGTAAGTTTCTGATCAGTGGAAGACTCTCACCTCAAAGTAAATGGATGGCCTTCCTGAGGAAAATACCCAAGGTTGTCTGTCTTGTGGCCTCTACATGGACAGACACGCATGTGCAATAATAAGACTATAAGAAAAGCCATATAATGTAATACTTGTGCTCCATTAAAAATACAAATCAGTTGTGTAGATAGATGCTATTTTTTAAAGGCCTAACCATTCATTTGTTACTCTTTTTTTTAAAAACATTTATTTATTATGTATACAACATTCTGCCTCCGTGTATGCCCGCATGCCAGAAGAGGGTGCCAGATCTCATTACAGATGGTTGTGAGCTAACGTGTGTTTGCTGGGAATTGAACTCAGGACCTCTGGAAGAGCAGCCAGTGCTCTTAACCACTGAGCCATCTCTCCAGCCCTCATTTGTTTGCTACTCTTAATGACACATTTTTATTACTTTTTTTATGTAGATGGGTGTTTTGCCTGCATGTAAGCCTATGCATTGCATTCACAAAATGTGTGCAGAGGTCAGAAAAGGGAACTGGATCATTGTTCGCTCCTATGCTGGGAATCGAACCTGGGTCCTCTAGATTAGCAGCCAGTCCTCTTAACTGCTGAGCCATCTCTCTGGCCCAATGCTCTTACTTTTGACTGGTCTGAGACTTAGAAGTAGAAATTCTCAGCTGGGCAGTGGTGGCTCACGCCTTTAATCCCAACACTCAGAAGGCAGAGGCAGGCAGATCTCTGTGAGTTCGAGGCCAGCTTGGTCTACAAGAGGTAGTTTCAGGACAGGCTCCAAAGCTATAGAGAAACACTCTCTCTCTCTCTCTCTCTCTCTCTCTCTCTCTCTCTCTCTCTCTCTCTCTCACACACACACACACACACACACACACACACCTTTCCTCCTCATCTCTATCTGCTTTGTCAGTCATAGTGAGAAGACACTAGGACCTCGTTGAGAGACTCTANTATATCTCCCCAAAATAAGTTTACATTAATTGCCAGTTCCCTTCATTTCCTTTCCATCCCCCCAACTTTCCCACTGATAATCATCACCTACTTGATTCGTAGCTTTAATATGAGAAGCATAATCAGTATAGCAAATAACAAAGGAAGTTTTCTAACTTTGTACACCTACAGGTAGAACAGTGTGTGTAGTTGGCAGCATTTGCAGTTACAGCATCATGCAAACTCTCAGTGAAGACAGCCTACATCTCTTGACAATCTGTTACTGGCTTCTTTCATTCTCTTGGCCAAAAGTTTAGCATATTCTGCAGTCTCCCCTTACTGTCTTAGTGTGTTGTTCCTTCAGAGCAATAGGTTGGCATTTATGTTGTGGGACACTTGGATAACAAAAGCCTAAATCATGGGGGCTTTGGTCCTGGGTTTCTTAGATTTTTTTATTTATGGCTTTTTGACAACAAATTGGTGACACCATCTTTGAAAGATTGAATAGTTTTCAGATACTACTTGTTCTTTTGTGCCTTGACCACTAAGGAATGGTAATATCTCTCAGTTCAGGAATATCACTTTAGTATCCACAATACATCACTAACAGATTGGTGCTTTCTATCCCCAGTTCTCCTTGTAACCCCACCCCTGACTCCTGTGGCCATAGATGCTTCATTTTAATGCTGCAGAAGTGACTACAAGCACACTACAAATTTTATTGACTTTCTTGAACTCATTGTTATGGATAGCTAGCTGTGATATAACTTAAGTCTGTCCAAACGTTTTCACTGTCCCAGACAGACGACTATATAAAAACACTTGTCACCAAGTCTGACAACCTGAGTTTTCTTTCATGTAGGTACCATATTTTTGTCTATTCTAAACTTGTAACACCATAGTGGTGAAAAATGGCCATCAAATAAGGTTTTTACTGGGCTTTAGCCTTTAAATCTCTCTCTTGCTCAGATGACTCACTTGCTCAAATTGTTCACCGTTTAGGTGATGAGCTGTCTCTGTATGTCACACTTGATTCTTGGTGTTTGTGTCTGCAGGACAGACTTTTTCTCCCGCTAGGATCTGAAGAGCTTCCCAAATTTGTCATCAGGGCTTGAGATAGAGAGAAATATGTATTTTAAGAGAAATATATAGATTTGCCCATATTATTTATATTTTAACCTGTGGTTACCTGACTAGGAGGATTTGCTATGCTCAAATGACATGCAAAGATCAAGGTCATATAGAGCACTAAGGTTGCTTTCATCTCTGAGCATGCCTTTGTGTTTGAGAGCTTTACAGTAACTGTCCCAGATGCTCAGAGAGTGCTGACACCATTCTGTGATTCTTCAGCATATTTCACACTTGCTCTTTTCCTTCGGAATGGTACTTTTGATGGAAAGGGAGGGCATATAGTAGCACTGGCCATAAGCCTTTTGAGAGTTTGCTCTTTCTTCATTTAACACAGACTGTGTGAATACAGTAATTGGGAGAAGTTTGGGGCTTGCTTATTAAGCATATTATATAGTATACAAATTGAGAGAAAATACATTGGGGGAAAGTAATTTTATAGATAAACTTGGAACACGTAAGGTTAAGCAGTGTTCTGGGAATTTTTCTTGTGGCCTTATAGGGGAATGAATGGATCTACAAATGTTTGAAGAATCTGGAAACTTAGGATAAGTTTATATTAACAATAAATGTCATTGTTCTTGTACTTACAGACTTTTAAGGAATTTTATACTTTTATTTATTATACTTCCCTCAAATTAATGATTGGCTCTATTACTTTAATTTTAAAGGTGCTTCTGAAAAATGTTTAGAGATTGATGAACATTGAGTGTATAATTTGCTTAAAAATAACTTCATTCTGTACCTTGATTTTTCCAGGCTTGTATATACTATAAGCTATTTTCAGTTGTTTTTTTATTAAAAGAAAAATATCATTAGATAATTGTTTTCTTTCTGAGACAGGGTCTCAATATGTATGCCTGGCTTTTGGAATTTGCCAAGTAGACCAGGCTGGCTGTAAGTCACAAAGATCCACCTGCCTCTGCCTCTCAAGTGTTAAGATTAAAGGTATATGGTACCACACTTGTCAAGTTTTATTTGTTTTAAGAAGTAGTTGTTCTCACATGACTTTAGATATTTTGCATTTATTTAATATAAAAATCCTATTCTTTTCTAGAGTCTGTATTATAATTATTGAAAACATTTCAACGTTTATAGTTTTATAAATAATATAATGCCAAGTTCAAATGGAGAATAACTTTATTCCTATATACCTTCTTTTTCAGTTATGTTCCCAGTGAACAGATATGTTTATTATTCTTTGTTAAACTTAGCATTATAACATTATTAAAATATGATCATGTAACTCAAAATTGCAGTTTTTGATGACTGTATCATGTTATGCTTATTTCCTGATTCTTTGTTGTTGAATATTTAGTTTGTTTCTAAAATCTGCTATAAAGAATATTGCTAATAAATTTCTACAAATGGATTACAATTTACTTTGAATTTTATCTTTTGGACAAATTTCTTACTGAATAAGAAGTCTGAAATTTTTAATGCTTAGATTTCCTCTATATTTATTTACATAAGCCTATTTAAATGTGTATAAATATATTTACCTACATGAATGTATTTATTACATATGTAGCAGTTTGTTTGTTTGTTTATTTATTTTCATAAATGCCACATAGTCGCGGAGAGTAAAGCAACTCAGAGTCACACAGCTAGGTGGCTCCAGAGTCTGTGTTCTCTTTGTAGTCCTACCTGTTTTGATGATCTTGTGAAGTGGCTCTTTCAAATGAGGATCACACCTGCTTTCAGGCAATTTCAGTGTAAATGTTAGTATTCAATGATCTTTTTTAACACTAAGTTTAACAGGCAAAAATGATACATGTTTATTCCCTAGAAGTACAACTATGTTCATTGGAAAAGCTTTCCTGTGTGATAGGTATGGTACATGACCACGTCCAAAACAGTGGAAATTGGCTATGGCTACATAACATGGAGGTTTCTAGAATGAATTAATCTTTGAGGTATTACCATTTTATTAACTTTAAAAAAATAGTAGGAGAAATACTTACTTGAGAAAAACATTATAGCTTGATAAAAGGTTTCTTTGTCAAGATATTTTTAAAATCTTATAGTTGACAGCATAACAGCATGTCGGGATTGAGACAGAAACGTTTTCTTTCTCGTCACCTCATTTCACTCATTGCACGAAGCCACTGGGTGTCCAACTACCGTTCTTGTTCACAGTTGTAACTACTATTAACGACTTCTTAGGAACTGTTTGTTGTATAGAAGTCTAACTTTTAAACTTGTTTGTTCCTATTTCATTTTACTCTTCGGTGAAGCTGTGACTTCTCTGGAATTGTGAATATTCTATTGAAGTATGGAGCCCAGTTAAATGAACTTCACTTGGCATACTGCCTGAAGTATGAGATGTTTTCAATGTTTTGCTGCTTTTTGAAGAAAGTTTGCCTATTGGCTCCTTGGAATCATACATCTGAATTTATAAGTTACGCAGTTAAAGCACAAACAAAATATAAAGAGTGGTTGCCACATCTCCTGCTTGCTGGATTTGACCCATTGACTCTGCTGTGCAGCAGCTCTTGGTAAGAGATCTTTCCACTTGTCCTTCCCCATTGGTAGTGAGTCTGCCTCAAACATGCCATCAGGTCTTGAGATCTCTGCCCTAGGAGGAGGGTAGGGGTGTATGTGTGTGTGTGTGTGTGTGTGTGTGTGTGTGTGTGTGTGTGTGTGCGCGCGTGCGCGCGCGCCTGGGTACTGCCGTAGCTGTGCTGTGTGAGAGTATTGACTGCTACAGCTATGCTGGGGTGAAAGAGCTGAGGGCTACAAACAATGGAAATTGATCTTAAAGCACAAAATTCTGTAAGAAGTGACTACAAATAATTAGGAGAGGTATAGCTTCCAGGGTGCTTTCCTGGAACATTTCTTCTATTCTTGACCACTCATTCTGCCCCTCTTTTTATGCTGGAGACAAGAGTCTTAGTAGCCTGGACTAGTCTTGACTTTGTGGTCCTCCTATGTAAACTTTCCAAGTGCTGTGATTTTAGACAGTGCTACCATGCTTAACTTTCTTATGCCTCTCTTAATGCGTCTGTGACAGAATAGTTCTACCCTGTAGCAGCTTGTCTTCTGAAATTTGTCTTCCTCACCACATACTGTTTTTCAAAGTATCTGAAGCTATATCTTACTTCGTTCTCATTGTTTCTCAGGTTAGTTGTTCATAAGAGATTGTATGTATGTTGAATCATGATTCTGTGGTGACAGGATTGTTTCTACCCACCTACAGCCTTAGCAAAAGTTGTCTGGGATAGGTACCTGTAGTATATATAACGTGTGAACAAAACTCTTAGCCTGATAAGTCAATTGAGAAAATAGAACAAAGTCTCCAGCTGAATAGAGATCATGTTTTTTTGTAGAGTTGTAGTGAAACATCTTTTAGCCTTGCAAGAGTTAGTTTCAGGAATTGAACTGAAGTCATTGGATTTGACAATAGGCTCTTTAACCTGCTGAGCCCGGTCTCTGAAGAACATTCCCTATTTGTAAGAAGAGTTTGCATTTCTTTGGGCTCTACTTTCTACCCATGGCTTCTCATTATGTGAAAAAGGAGCCTTTATGTGATAGTATCTCACGTTCTCATTATCACTACCTGGAATTGTGGAATGCTCATCAGGTTTTGTGCTTAGAACTGTCATTGCTCTCTGACACTCTCTTTCTGACCATGTGCTAGTGAAGAGAAACTGCTCTCTAGTTGGTGGTTTGGGGAGAAAAGTCATTGAAAGTGAGGAAAACCTTCTGATCCCACTTTGCTAATAACAGATTGAATTTCTGATTGTACTATCAACAGATTATTAAAAAAATTCATTGTTGCCTGTCAAATGCACATGGTTGCTATTCCCTTCATTATTCTGTATTAATTTGTACTAAACTATTTTAAAGAAATATAAAAATTACTAAAAATTCATCGAGATATCTCTAATTAAAATTTGCATATGTTTGTCATAAGTACTCACCCTCCCCACAAGCATTTTAGTGAGGTAGGAAATACTTTGAGTGCCAGTTATATCTAGTAATTAGCAAAGTTATGTAAATGCCACTGATGTCTCCCTGAATCTCCCACTAGCACTCCTCTGGGGCTAGCTGGCAGCAGATGCCGCTCACTGCTTTAAATCTCACAGAACACACTGGGTAGCTTGGACAGCTCTGACAGTCAGTTCCCCTTTATCCTGAACTCAGGTGGTGCCTGTCTCCAGGACATCCACTTTTTCCTCAGCCACTTTCTTGATGTTCTTCACCTAAAACCATTAAGTGACTCCATCTGAATAGCCCAGTCATTTCAACCTTCACATCCTAGAGTTCCCAGGGTGTCCTGTGTGCGACTCAAATCTCTGTTCTTGACCATTTTCCTCTAACTACTTCACACATTCACGGGAATGAAATAGTTCTATGACTTAAGGTCAGTAGCTTTCATCTATTCCCAAATGGGAGTTTATGACAACTTTTCTTGTTCCTTCTTACTCCTAAATTAGCAAAACCTTCGAAAGAAAAAGGGGTAAGATTTGCCTGCTATCTTTTGTTCTCTGGCCAACTAGAGAGTATGAAATATTGAATGTAGTCTCAAGGTTCTACAAAATATACTATCCTTTTCCCCATGTATAAGTAGCTAAGATTTTTGTGGCAATAAATTCTTGGGCGTGTACTCTATTTATTCGATTTGTTGAAATGGGAAAATGTTAAGAACTCAATAAACAATCTAATTATTTAATTATTTAGTTTAGCTTTCTTAATTGAAAAATGCCAGTTCATATATTTTACTACTTTATATTCATTAGAAAGAAGTCCAGTGGAAACTTTCACTTTGGAAATGAATTTCTTTTTTTTTTAAATATTTATTTATTTATGATGTATACAATATTCTGTCTGTGTGTATGCCTGCAGGCCAGAAGAGGGCACCAGACCCCATTACAGATGGTTGTGAGCCACCATGTGGTTGCTGGGAATTGAACTCAGGACCTTTGGAAGAGTAGGCAATGCTCTTAACCACTGAGCCATCTCTCCAGGCCCGAAATGAATTTCTTTTATTTGTTTGTTTGTTTATTTATTTATTTACTTTTGTTTTTCCTGACAGGGTTTCTCAGTATCTATGGAGCCAGTCATGGAACTCACTCTGTAGACCAGACTGGCCTCGAACTCACAGAGATCCACCTGTCTCTGCCCCCCAAGGGCTTAAAGGCACGCATCACCACCACCTGGCAGATATGAAAATTCTTAATGTACTCAAATTTTGTTCACTAATCTTTTATTGAAATGGTAAAGCCAGTTTTTATACTGAATATGATAAATGTTTTGCCTTCTTGCATCAAGTTTATATTCAAAGAACTATTGCAAGAGAAAAATTTTCTGTAAAGATTCTGATATATCAAAACAGATTTTGTTGTTTATTAATAGCACATGTAAGTCTGTTGCTTGACTTAAGCACTCTTAAAAATGTATCTGAGTAATTAATTGCCTGTTGCATTGTAATCTATGGAGTAGAAATATTTCCCAATAATGAATGCAAAACTAAGTCCCTCCCTCCATATTTTAGTGGGAGAAGAATGGAAAGTGAATGCCAGCTGCACAGTCTGCTGTTGGACTGTTCCTGACTTAGGATCCCACAGCTGCACTGTAGAATGCAGTGGTCAGTGCAGGCAATACAGATGCAGTTTCAGTGGCATTGTCAGTATTGTGAGATACACTCACCACTGCATTAACTAAAGCTGTGCACAGATTTACTTCTATGTGTGCTCAGATAACTATAAAAATGACTTTGTGTTGGGTCTAGTGAGACCTAGAGCGTATTAAGGTAGAAAAGGAACAGTTAAAATGGAAATAAGGAACCAGATTCAAGTCACCTTTGTTTTAGTTCTCACATGCCAAGGAGAGTGTTGGAGTATGTTTTGTCATTTTTTATTTCCTGATAAGTCTTCATTTTACTGAAACTGGGAACTAAAAAGTTTTTTTCAAGGCAACTGTGCTGTTTTCAGTTTTTTCTTATATGTTTGTGTATCTAAGAGTTAAGGGAGGTGACTCAGCCTTTGCCTACAAGCCTGATGATTGGGACCCACATGTCAGGAGAGATCCAGCTCCCCCAAGCTATCATACACAGACACACACAAGTTTTTTAAATTGGAAAGCGATTTTTATACTCTGTTCTGTCATTTCATCTATACTTTCAAATACAGAAAACAAGTTGTTTTGAGACGAGTTTGGAGTATTATTTTGTTTCTTTACCTTCTTTGTGTTTATGTTTGTGTGGGGTGTATTAATTAGTGTGCATGTGTTTGAGGAGGGCTCTCTGTCCACCTTCCTTTTCTCAGTGTGCTTTCTGAGGAACTTTACTTTTAGTCTCCTGTTTTTGTCCTCTCTTCAGTTGCTCCCTATTGGATGTCTGCAGAAATTGAACTTGAGAAGAATTTATTTTGTATTAATTGAATAAAAGGAAATAAAAGGAGGACATGACTGCTCCTAAGGAATTGAGGGTCTAATAAGGAAATAGAAGGGAGAGCAGAGGCCCAGGTAGAGTTATCTGTGAGACTCCATACTGGACATAACCAGCTGACTGAACTGAGCCATTTAAGTGTGGGGAAGTGGGAGGGAGAAGTAGAAAGAGGGGGAAACCAGGAGCCAAGAGGTCAGTGTAACAAAAATAGCTGAGTTATATGGTGAAGAGAAACTAGAGGAAGAGACATAACCCTGTCACAGGGCTGGAAAGTTTAGGGTATGTGGAGTGCTATACCAGCCAGGATGTCTCTTTAACAGGTGACTGCAATACTGAGAGACTGGCAGACAGTCTGCTTTGATATGTTAAATAGGCACCTAGGTTAGACATGTCTGGGTTGACACCTAACAGTAATGCAGCAGACCTGTTTTTCTTCAAAGGGCGTGAGGCTGTCTTAGTTGAGACTTATATAAGTAATTTTGTTAGGTTCACTGAATTTCATGTGTGTAATGATGTGAAAACTCCTGGAAGATACAGTACTGAAGTTTTCATGTTCTATTAATAATCAGTATTTAATATATTGTAGACTTTTGTTTGTTTGTTTTGTTTTTCCGAGACAGGGTTTCTCTGTATAGCTTTGGAGCCTGTCCTGGAACTCTCTTTGTAGACCAGACTGGCCACGAACTCAGAGATGTGCCTTCTTCTACTTCCCTAGTGCTGGGATTAAAGGTGTGTGCCACCACCTCCCAGCCTATATTGTAGACTTTTAAAAGTGTGTTTATTCTTCTCTTCTTGAATATTATTTCTATAAAGTCTGCAGAAATAGTTACACATTATTTAAGATATCTAGGGCTTAAAGAATTTTGACAATTAAGTAGCGGAGGTGTTTTAGAAATTGGAACTTACTTTGAATTATTGTTCTATTCCTTAGTTTTCAAATATCTCTAACACTTGCGGAAGGTTCTTGTTGTCAAACTGGTAGGGAATCCTGTGTTTCGAAAGAAGAAGAGAAGAGAGACTATTATTGTGGAACTGATATTTCTGTTCTTAAAGCTGAATGTTGGATCACCCTTTAGGACTGAATCTTTAATGAGGAAAGTTCTTAGA